AACGAGGCAAAACGACCGTTTAAAAAAGTCGCGGTTGACTGAAGGAAATTTCGGTCGTCCGAAATAAACATTCGGTCGACCAAAAAACTTAGTCGGTCGACCGACCGAAAAATTCGGTCGACCGCCAGCCGCTATGAAAACTTAGAAAACAAACAGAGCCATCGTCGGTCGACCGCCCCCCCCCCCCCCCCCAGCCGCTATGAAAACTTAGAAAACAAACAGAGCCATGGTCGGTCGACCGGCGCGGCCGACCGATTTAAAAATCGAGATTTCGGTCGACCGTACCGGTCGACCGACGATCTCTCTGGAAAATTCTGAGGAACGGTCATGGGAACGGTCGACCGGACCGGTCGACCGCTTTCTGATATTTTGCAGAAAACAGATTTTTGACCAACTTGAAATATTTGCAAAATATTTATTTGACCTCTGAAAATTCTGAAACTTTGTAAAATGTTTTTAATACTAAAAACAAATTATTTGAAAAAAGAATTTTGCAGATAGGTCCTCATACTTGTGAAAAATAGTATTTTGTGAAAACGCTTAAAAAACACAAGTATGAAAACGTGTGTGTGATTCCCAATAGCTTCAAGTAAAATCAGTAACTCTTTGCCTACATTCTAGCACTAGAGAGAAAAGCAAAAAAAAGCTAATATCCTCATATAGAGAGCAATACTTGAGCTTTGATATAGCTTGAATCGGATGAAGCTTTTATTCGAATTTATCGTTCTTGCAATAACGTTGCTTCATCTCTTAGCCTCCTCCTCCTTTGGATATCTTCGTTGTAGCGTATATTCCATCCATCCTCCATTAATGGCACTAACGAGCTTAATAAAGGAGTTTGCTACATTTATACTCAATAAGCCATTAGTACCGATAATGGTGATTGTAAGAACATCATCAAAACATAAGGGCTAACAGTAAGCTCATAACCATGAGACCTAACAAGGCTAACACTTGTGGGTACTATATCTACGGGAAGCATAATAGAGTTAGTTTTCTGAAGGATCGAATACTACCTAAAGCTCAAAAGGTAGAGCTTGTTCATACAGATGTATGAGGTCCATCTAGTGTGTCTTCTCTTGATGGTTCGGCATATTATGTCACCTTTATCTACGATCACTCGAGGAATATGTGGGTATACTTCAAGAAGCACAAGTCAAAGATGTTCGAGATCTTCAAGAAGTGGAAGGCCATGATGGAGAACGAGACAGATCTAAAGGTGAAGTGTCTGAGATCAGATAACGGTGGAGAATACGAGTTAGAGGAGTTCAAAAGGTTCTGTGCTCTAAACGTGATTCATTTGGAGAGGACTACTCCAGGGACGTCGCAGTAGAACGACGTTGCAGAAAGGATGAACAGGACATTAACAGAGCATGCCAAGTGCATGCGATTATATGTAGATTTGCTTAAGACATTTTGAGCAGATGCGGTACATACAACAGCTTACTTGATTAATTATGGGTCATCAGTTTCATTGAATTTCGGGATTCCAGATGATGTTTGGAGTGGCAAGAAGATCAACCCCTCACACTTGCGAGTATTTAGCTGCATAGCATATATTCATATCAGTGACCATGTCAGGGACAAACTTGAAGTTAAGTCACAGAAGTGTACATTCATTGGATACGGCATTGATGAGTTCGGGTATCGTCTTTGAGATGAGAAGAACAGAAAGATCATCTAGAGCATGGACGTGATATTCAATGAGGAGGTGATGTATAAAGACAGGGACAATGCCAAGAATAGCCAAAGTAGTGGTGCAGCACTAAGAATACAGATGGATCCGAGTACATGGATTTGGAGGAACTTCCAGATGGAGGAGAGAGTACTAGTTCTGAACGAAGAACGGAGGAGCCTCCAGGTACAGAAGCTACTACCCAGAGCGTGGAGCTTAGGAGGTCATCCACTGTACCCAAACCGAATCTCAGATACCTCTCATCACTTGATTACTTACTTTTGATAGATAGCGGAGAGCCGGAGTGCTATGAGGAGGCTATGAAAGTAAGTAAATATCAACATTGGGAGCTTGCAATGCAAGAAGAGATGGATTCTCTCCACTCGAATGAGATATGGGAGTTAGCCCAGCTACCTGCACAGAAGAAAGTCTTGTATAACAAATGGGTCTATCGGGTCAAACAGGAGAGTGATGAAAGCAAGAGGTATAAGGCCAGATTAATCGTAAAGGGGTTCCAACAGCGGGATAGAGTGGATTATACGGAGATATTTTTCCCGTTGTGAATCTTACAACAATCAGAGTGGTGTTGAGCTTAGTAGCTGCAGAAGATCTCTACCTTGAGCAGTTAGATATGAAGACTGTATTTCTTCATGGTGACTTGGATGAAAAAATCTACATGAAGCAATATGTTGGTTTCATTAAAAAAGGAAATGAATAGATGGTGTGTAACCTCAAGAAGAGCTTGTACAGATTGAAACAGGCTCCGAGACAATGGTATAAGATGTTCGACAACTTCATGCAGAACAATGGCTATGAAAGATGCAACTTAGATCATTATTGCTACTTTAAGAGGTTCGAGTCCAGCTATATCATATTATTATTGTATGTTGATGACATATTAGTTGCAGGACTGTGTTTAGAGGAGATAAATAAATTAAAGAAGCAGTTGGCGAAAGAGTTTGCTATGAAGGATCTGGGTGCAACGAAGCAAATTCTTGGGATGTGAATCAGTAGAGATGAAGCTGAAGGGACGTTGAAGTTGAGTCAAGCTAAATACATCAAAAAGATACTTCAGAAATTCAACATGGAGAATGCTAAGCCCATCGGCACGACCATTGAAAGTCAATTCAAGTTATCTGAGGAGAAATCGCTCAAGACAGATGCGGGGAAGGAGCACATGAGCAGAGTGTCGTATTCATCAAGCATTAGTAGTCTTATGTGCGTGATGGTTTACACGAGGCCGGATATCGCCCATACAGTAGGAGTGATGAGCAGGTTTGCAAGCAATCCAGGGAGCAGCATTGGGAGACCGTGAAGTGGATATTGGGAGGAACTACGGATATGTCATTGTGTTTCAGGAGAAAGGAGTTGGTACTACGGGGATATGTGGATACGAATTTCGTTGGTGATCATGATACGAGGCGAAGTACCATAGGGTATGTTTATATCTTGGCATCGACAGCAGTGAGCTTGGTCTCACATCAGCAGAAGATTATAACATTGTCCACAATTGAGGCAGAGTATGTCGCGGTGACTGAAGCCAGCAAGGAGATGATTTGGTTGACCGAGTGCCTGGAAGAGTTGGATCTGAAGCGGGGGAACGGAGTTCTTTATTATGATAGCTAAAGCACTATACACATTGCCAAGAATCCAGAATATCATGCCAGAACGAAGCACATCGACATACGATATCATTTCATACGCTTGCTGATTGAGAACAGTAAGTTACAGCTGGAGAATATTTTGGGGAGTCAAAATCATGTGGATATGTTGACGAAAGCAGTGACCATCGAGAAACTGGAGTTGTGTGCAACTTCAGTTGGCCTTCATGCGTAGGAGTCGAAGGCGAAGCCACACTAGGAGGATCGGCGGGATCGCCGAGATGATGATTATTGAAGAATAAATTTTTCGGGGTAGAAGATGCTTGCGAAGAAGATGAGAGTTCGAGGGAGCTCGTTGATAGCGCTTTGATCTCCAAACGGGAGATTGTTAGTCTAAGTATGTAAACCCAAAGCTGGAATCAAGAAGACGAAGAAAACAAGAAATATTTGGGTCGGTCGACCGTCGGGTCTTGTCCGGTCGACCACAAAGCCTGTAGCAGACTGAGCAGAAACATCTCTGACCGGTCGACCGCGACAGCTGGTCCAATCAACCGCGAATGTGAACCGTGTAAGGTGCAGAATCAATGCTCTGGCCAGTCGACCGCGAGACTCAAGCCTGGTCGACCGCGACGGGATTTTTCTGTTTGCTAATCTGTTTTGTATTCTCTTTGGACTGGGATTCCTATATATACCTAAACGATTTTAGGGTTCCGTGTGCATAAAAAAAGGAAGTTTTTGAGAGGATTCTTCTGATCTCAGAGAAATTAAACCCTAATTTGAGCTTGTATTCTTTCTTCAAATTAATCAAAGAATTGTGTGGTGTGGCTTCTAAGGACATAAACATGTTGCCGAACCTCATTAAATTTGGTATGTTCTTTCTTGTTTGCTTTCTTGCAAGTTTTATCTTTTATATGCGGTGATTTTCCTACTTTCCTACTCTCAAACATAAGGTCACAGATTCGATTTGATTGCTTCGAATCCCCAACAGTTTCTGTGTCAGTACCTCCACAACTAAACACCAGACCACATAACGTAACTACATATATTGCAATGCATCATCATACAAGATACATCAGTGAATCATTACACAGTAAATGATCCCAGTACAAGCGAACCCCATTACAAAACAAAACCTCGCTCACTTGTACTCGATCTATCCTTCAATTAGACTCCTTCACTCTTCTGATCGTAACTACAACAAAGAAACAAATGGTCAGCCAACAAAATCATGAAGCATATGACTTCCAAAGTGCCTCATCTGCTGCTCTTGCTGTTGAGCATCCTCATTGTGTTGAAGGCCTAATGTGAGAGAGACCGATCCAAGCCCCCCAACATCCATCATCCCACCTTGGTATCCGAAACTCATCAAACCGCCATCAATGCCTCCTGCAACTGTACATTCTTCCATCCTTGATCGTTTCTCTCTATGCCACTGCTCCATATTGCTAATCGAGCTGGAGTCATGGGCAATAGGGTCCATTGAAGAACAATCAAATTTCTTGTTAGACTGAGATTCTGATCCCTGATCAGATAAAGGCTGCCCTCTGATATTGTCCATGATCGATTTTCTGTCGTTCTTGTTGGAGGAATTAAGGTCCATTTCAGCCATCCCTTTGGATTCGAGCATGTGGATCTCTTCTACCATTGGCTTCCACAGTCTCACCCGAGCATTGATGAACCAGTTTGAAACCTGCTTTGTAGAAAATGAAAACCAAGACATGTTGACTAACTAGATGTGGATACATCTTTGTTAACTAACTAGATGAGGTTACGAGATTATGATTTCTTATTTTGAACTGCATAGCCTGCTATGTAATATCTTCATTAAATCACTCAGTACAGTACTTTTTTCACTTACTTGCAGATGGACCCCTGTAGAATGCAGTTTGGAACTTACCAACCTCTAATTTTATTGTTGCTGATAGATGCCCTGAGTGAAATTTTTTTGGCACTTTGACCTCATTGAAAGAAAATTGTTTTTTTAACTAGACCCCGCAAGGGTAAAAAGAGTCGAAAAGGCTTACTCAGAGAGGCATATCTGCAACAATAAAATTACTATACGGGTAATAAGTTCAAAACAACGATACTACAGTGGGTCTATCCGCAACTAATCATTTTCTACACCATTTATATACAAGGTAAGAGAGATAGATACCTGATTCCTTGTCAGCCCAGTTTGAGTAGCCAACATATGCTTATCAGTATCCGTAGGATATCTGGACCACCAAATTAAGTATGACTTAGTTTATGCCGTACAATAATAATATGTTTACCCAATTTTCATGGATGATTCTTATAAATTAATAAAATTAACATCAAAATAAAACTTACGGATGAAGGAAATGCTCAAACAACCAAGCTCTCAACACTGAAACAGCCCTCTCAGGGAGCCCCCTTTGAGGCCTCCATACAGGCTGATTATTATCCAAGAAGCTTAAACTTGCGTTCTCACTTGCTTTCTGTCTTCTAAGACTCTGATCCAAATATTTCAATTGAGGAGTCATCGTGGTTTCACCTCTAGAACTCGAACTGGGAGATGAGATGAAATCTTCTCCAAGGATTCTGCTCATGTGACGGAGCTGATTGGATATAGCATGTTTTATAGACCTGAACTGCTTGGAGATGGCCTTGAGGGCCAATGAAGTGTAGGGTGTGGCTGCACTAAGACCTGCCACAGACTCGAAGGATGATACCACCATTTGCATCTGTTGGTGGTACTGCTTGTACCTTCTGCATACCTTGATGTACATTAGAAAATTGAAGAGTTAGGTTCAATTCACAAAAGAAAAAAAAAGTTAAGTGTGATAATGAGAGAAATATTTACAGCTACTTGAGAAGTGTTCCTACATAAAACTTGAATCTGGAACAGATGCAACATCATAAGGTTATATTCATGTGTGGATAGCCAAAGACAGAACTAAGATCGGAGAAAGTCAATGAAACTATTAACTGAAAATGTGCAAACTGGAATGATAACATTTTGAGATTATAACTCTTTAAGAATCCAATGTAAATATACCATTTTAATAGATGTAACGGCTACAATTTTTTGCTGTCAGGGTTGAAATATCACAAAATCAAAGTTCTCATGACATGATAAACTGATAACGGTATTACAAGCAGCAACTGGAACAAGAGAGCTAATTAAAGTTCCCTTAGCCATTTAACAGTTGCAAGTTTCTAAAATGAACTTTCATCATTATTTTAGAATAAGGAAAATGTATAGTACAGCCACCATGTTTCATTAAACTAACTGAACCTGAACTTTAGTTATCGGTCTAATGTGAAAACAAAGCCTGCAGTATAGCAGAAACTTTGGAGATTACAGATCAATGACATACTTTCATATTTGGACATTTATTTCTAAGGGGGTCATTCTCCAGATGTTTTTGTTTATAATCCAGATTTGTTTAGAATCAAGTTTCAAGGTCTGCAGATCCCATGAACATAGAATTAAATGCAGATTCCGTTCTCACATGGCCATTTTCTAGCATAGCTGGAATACCCAATTTACAGTAAGTTTGTCAGGACCTCGTCCAAAATGCATACCTAATTAAACATGTACCTGGTTTCCTACTTCTTGAAAGATCAATTTTTGCATTCCATTAAGAAGCACATGATATGTTTTCACAACACAAAGAACTTGTCTTTAGAATCTTTTGATCAGGTGTGGCATGCCTTCATGTAGGTATCCTTACCAAATAACAAGGAATTTTCCACGTTCATATAGAATTGCTAGGATGAACACCCAGCAATCTATTTTTGGCATAGTATTTAATAATACAAGAATGTAATTTTTCCTAGGGTTGTGAGTGCAAGCATTCCCATAAGGAATTTGTGCTAATAATCTTGACCCATTGTATATGATTGCAAAGTTCACTCACTGGATTAAGAGAAGGAAAATTTTGCAAAATAGACCTATGTTGCTAAATATTTAGCAAAATAGACCTCTTTTTGGCCAAAAAGAGGTCGATTTTGCTAAACAGACCATTCGAAACATACGTGACTAGTAGTCCCGCATGATTTAATCTCACATTAAATCATACGGTACTAGTACTACTAGTCCTGTATGTTTTGAATGGTCTGTTTTTGTAAAATCAACCTCTTTTTTGCCTGTTTGCCAAAAAGATGTCTATTTTGCAAAATATTTAGCAAAACGGTCTGTTTTGCTAAATATTTAGCAAAATAGGTCTATTTTGCAAATTTCTTCTACTTTATAACTTATTGAAGGGCCTCGAGGGTTGCTGAAGAATGAATGTTTTATGTGTCTTATCAAACTTGTGTAAAGATAGGCATAATGAACTATTGCATCCAATGGATATGCACAAACCTGATGAGGCTCGAAACCAGAGATGTATTCCCATACATTTTAAATTTTAAGTAATATTTACATGAAGTCTATATAACCGTTATGTATAAACCATAATTAGTGGTATTCTAATAATCATGATTAAAAAAATTATATGCTAGCATGTAAAACCACTTTCCCATTTACAATATGAACCTCAATTGGATAAAATTAACCTCCAACTTGTTCATTATAAGCATGCACAAAGTTGATCACCATACAACTTTAAACCATACTCAGATCCAATGATGATTTATGTATATTTAATGGCGGATAATTAAATATTAAAGCACACAGCTATGCTTTTATTATGCTTGCCTAAATGAATTGGCGCCGTGACACTGGACGAGAAACGGATCCTCTCCACTACTAAGAAAGTTGTGGAGAGACTTATTAACCTCTGCTGATTAATAAACAGATGGTTATGATTTTATTTATTTTTTAAGTGCAAAATAGGAATGCATGCAATTCATGAGAGTTCTGATGAAAATAATAGCCACTCACTAGACAAATCAATAACTAGTAATAAGTCGATGGTCTCTTCACTATTCTCTTCACTACTTTTATGGTAGTGCAGAGGATCCATATCCCTTGAAATTACTTGATAAATATCCTATGCTTGTGCTGGTTAACTTAATTAACATTCAGGCCATATACTAGCTATTAATAGAGTAATTTATTTATTCCTTTATTCATAAAAAATGCATTTATTTAATATAAGCTGTAAAGTACACATCAAACTAATTAGTTTCATATTTCTACAATAAAAACACACAAGACATTCAAAATACGTAAAGGGTATACAGTTCTTATACTACCGATAATAAGTAACAAGAGAAATTCTCACTGAAAAATAAAGGGGCACACGGCTCCTCTTGCACCAGAAAGAAACATAATTATCACAACAGATACCATGTGTCTAATTCCACAAATAATAGAACTCATCAGATAACACTCGGTTAAGGATAAGGATAAACGTTCAGTTGATGATCCGATAACTCACCTCTTCCTGCAAGTACAACAGCTTCACCTTCCTCTGCTGAATCTCGGGCTGCTCAATCGAACAACTCGATCCACTGCCTACCCCTGCGCCGCCCTCACTAGCACTTCCCACCTCCATCGAATTATGAAATGAAGACGAAGATGCCACTGAATTCCCTCCCTTCACCCTATAATTGCTCCCATCATCACAATGACTCCCGCTTCCGCTTCCTCCTACTCCTACAAAACTCATGTTACGATTTCGATGATCATGACCATATTGCTCCTGCTTTGTCGCCTTTGCACCAGTCACCGCGCTGCAGAACTCATCCAACAACTGCTGTGCCGGGCTCAAAAACTTCGAACTCTTCAAAATCGTAGCATACCCAGTAAAAGGCCCAAGCGGGCCTACAGACCGGCGAGGATCCATCATCAACAACTTGGCTGCCGGCGGGCTAATCTGTCCCTGTGACGACGGCATATGCAATTCCACCAAGGGTTTCGAAGCAAGCGACAACGACAGACCTTGCGTCTCGTTAGCGGCTACCTTGTTATCTTCAACATTCAGGTGACTGAAACAGCTGCTGGCTGCTGCTGCTGCTGCTCGCTGGCTGCTGCTCATTGGCGGCTCCTTCTAACCCTAATGAAGAACCAACGATAGCTTGAAGGGTATTTTGGTACGGCAAGCTATGGCCATCATGAACTGCAGAGATCAACTCAGTGGTGGTACTTGTAGGCAAATGATAGAGATGGGATTGAAGCAAAGGATGGTTAGGGTTGATCTGATTCGTGATCCAATCAGAATCATGGCTAGAAAAATCAAGAATTGCGGCCGGAGAATTGGTGATCATGTTGGTGCAGTTGTAGATTAGCTCTTGGTTGATATTAGGGTTTTGATTGCAGTTGACGAATTGCTGGTTTTGAACTCGGAGCTTGTCTCGGCGACTTTGCTGTGCTACGTGATGCTCTAATCCTTGAGACATTGAATATAAATAACTCAGCGATCTTTAACAACGACTGTAAGGTTGGGCAGCCATTTTCATATTCTGCCGCAAAAAAGGAAGTAAAAGATTATGAAGGTGAAGAAAATAGGGACAAAAATATGAAAACATGGTAGCATTAAAAGTTTGAGCTCTTTTCAAGTTTACTGTATCAAGGAAATAGAACGCCTATGACTATAAGCGCAAGTTGGGTAAGCAACATGAAGCACAAGACAAAGAAGAGAATAAACCGCTTTTTTAAAAAAGGAAAAGTTCACCCTAAAAGAAAAAATAATAAAGCGGACAAAGATTGTGACCCGCTGTCACTGTACTAAAAATTATTCCCATGGTTTCCTACAGTTAATTTTCAAAAGAAAATACAAAAATATCTTCAACCTTATATACAGTAATGAAGAACTAGGTCACATGAGGATTCTGTACGCCGAAAATCTAATAACAAGCAGAGACCAAAATTTATTTATTTATTTTCACCTTGCGTATTGTGGAGAGAGCTTTAGGATGGACGACGAAAAATGGCGGGATATAGATCGTCGGTCGCAGATAAGCTCGACGGCGACGAACCCTCCCACGTGAGCGCGAGCAATGAGCGAAGAGAAGTCAAGACTCGTCTCCTATTAAAAGCGCGGATCAGAGAGAGAGCCCCTCCGTGAAAATGACATCCACCCAACAGTCGGATATACCCTCGCTTCTTGAACCATAATCACGATCCTACCACTATCTTTCTTGGATGACGTGGCATCTCACTTCTGGTCAAGTGACGTACCGTACACAGTGTTAAAACGAGCGATGACATCAGCGGTTCCCGGGATTACCGGGGTCGCACCGCTGTGCTGATCAAAGGGAAGGAGCGCCAAATCTTTTGCTTGTAGTGATTGCGGAGTCCCGTTTGTACGGACGTGTTCGTGATCTTGCTGTGTTTGTGAGAAATAATAAAGAGATTAGCGTGGTGTATATTCAAAATTGTATGCCTTAGATTTATGGTCTTACAATTTATCAGGTTAATTTGGCAAATAAATTGATTATATTTTGTGTAGATTGGGTACGGAAAGGAATATTAACGATTCGTTTCGATATCATAGTGTTTTTATTAAAAACAGTATGTTGTTTTATTTTTTTCTTAAAATATTTTCAAAATATCATGATAAGTGTTTTTGTTTAACACTAGTTTGACCCTCTACAATATTAGTATTAATCATATTATTAATATATTATATATTATTTATAATAAACATATTATAAATAAAATATTATAATATTTATCTTACATTATTATAGTATCATAAGTATTAAATATAATATAATATAATATTGTATAATGTATTATAATATTATATTATACTTTAATGAGTTATATTTTATTATAATTATTATTATATTATAATTATTAAACATTGTTTTCAAATAATTATATATTTAATTATCTTGGTATATCAATGTGTTATTGTTATATATTATATAATATTTTTAAAAATAACATTATTTTATTATTAATACAATATTATGCTATTATTAATATAATATAATATTATCAATAATATTAATATTATGTTATTACTAGTATATTGTTAATAAATTAATATATTTTAATATTATAAAATATACTATAGTTTCTAATATGTTAGAGTTTATTAATAATACTTTAATAATATAGTAATAATTTATGATATAATTAAGTATTATTATGTTATGAATATATTATTTTTACATTAACATTTATTAGCAATAAATTATTTTAGTATTAAAATTTATTTTACTTTATAATATATTATATTGTTTATTACATAATATATTAATACTTTATATATTATATTACATTTACTATACAATATATTATTATAATATTATTATTATATTATTATATTATTATTAAATATGTTACTATTATATAAAGTTTTGGTTATTAATTTATTATAATTTATCTATTAAAACGTTAATAATGTTATAGTGATTATAATATTATATAGTATATTATTATATTATTATTTATTATCAATAACTTTTTAATAGTTTATTTATATTTTATTATTATATAGTACATTATCAACATATTATACACTAGTATTTAATATATTATTATATTATTATATAAGATATTTAATTATTATATATTTATATTATTTAATAAATATTGCTAGTATATTAGATTAACTATAATATAGTATAGTATAGTATAATAAAATAAGCATGTTGATAATAACTATATATTAATTACATTTAATATATTATGTTAGATATTGAATTAACACCTCCTCACACTCAAAACCAAAACACCAAACTTAAAACACCTATAATGTGTTTTGAAATAAGTGTTGTGTTTTCTATTTGATGATAATTTAGCTAAAAAAATATCACGGTTTCTAAACACATGGTGTTTAGTTTTTTGCAAAAACACCATGGAAATAAGTTAAACATCATGGTGTCCAAAAAGGAGCCAAACGGATTAATCTTGTTTGTGAATTTTTTTGAAAGGGAATGGAGGGAAAGTGAAGTACTAAATTTTACATTCTCTAACCTCCATTCTACATAATTTGGTTAACCCTCAAATTGGGGTATAGAAGATGTTGATGTTAAATAATCCAACAGTCAATATAGTGGGGATAAGGTTGATTAGGGGCTACTCACTTCTCCGTATATCTGGTTTTGAGTTGAGTAGATTCAGCCTGCACAAATAACAGTTCATGAGAGGACGAGGACTGGTTCCCCTGTTGTTCCTCTGACGATCAAATCAGCTGATGAACTTTTGTGGGAAAATGATGAACTGCGTGAGTTTTTTTGTGTGGTGCAATAGAATATAATTCTGAGATATTGCTTAGAAATTGCTTAAAAATCATCCCCTTTTATGTTAGAATAGTACATCTATTTATAGTGGTAGAAGAAGGATAGAATGATAATCTCGCCGAGTACAAGATAGTGATAAATGAGTATAAGATGGCGGCTACGTCAGCACCTACTTTACAGGTGTCGGTCGATGAGTGGAGCAGATATCACCTCTACATTTAATACGAAGTGATGCAGGGCATGGCGGTGACGACGTATACCTATGAGTCATGAAGACTATAGGGGCTAGAGGAATGATGGTGCCTGCCAAGCATTAAATACAATGTCAACACGTTGTCAGTGGGAGAGGCTCAAGGTTGAAGTAGTCTTTTGGCTTGGCCAGGAAGTAACGCTTCTCGAGTCGACCCTGCAAGGTATCGAATTGTTGGTCGAGTGGGCTCATAACGAGTCATCTTCGACAGGAGGACCGAAAGTATCGCCCTTCGAGTCGACATAAGGGGATGTTGACTCGACGAGTCGGCTAAGTTGGGATTCTTGATCCTGGTCATCAATTTGATTTGAGCGGTGTATGTAGAAGGATACATGTCTGTGGCTAGAAAAGGTCTATACTTTAGTGACTGAAAACACCATAACAGTTGGCATCTTTCGCTTAGAGTTGGCTTGGGCTGGGTCCGAGTGAAATGAGAATAGCTTTGGACGGATGTGGATATGCATTAAATGAGAGAACTAAAAAGTCTCTTTAGATTTTACATGGCTGACGTCATTACACATTTATTTTGACTGCCATAGCTCCGCTTTTCTTAGCAGATTGCGGGTCATTCGAGGTTAGCATGATGCACCTCGATCCTTGAGATGCCGCTTCGAATTTTGAAAATTAATCTTGGCCGTTGGACAAAGCTTGATCCGGCCGTTAAAAATTTGGCAGTTGCGGATTCAGCTGCCTATATAGAGAGCTAAGGCCATGGAGATGGAGGTTATTGTCTTTTGAAATTCTCTTCTGAGAACTCAAAATCTTTTCCGCTCATATTTTTTTGGTAATCATTTCTCTTTTCTAGGACAGCATCAGATCCCATAGACCAATGAGCTCTTCTAACGGAGTTCCACTCCAAGGTGACCCAGGCACAGAAGAGGATGCTCCACTGGAGGTTTGATATCCCCCAGGAGTATGAGATGATGGCCCCAACAAGGTCGTAGGCCATATATGATCAAGGGTCAGATTGGGGTCCGCTCTATTTGAAGTATTTGAAGTTTGGCATGCGGCTGCGCTTGCACCCTTTTCTCCAGCAAGTTTTTACAGCCTTAGGGGTATCGTCGGCCCAGATGAAGCCGAACGCCATCGCCATCTTGGTAGGGTTCGTGGTGATTTGTCATTGGTTAGCAATAAAGTCATCCCAGGGAGTCTTATGCCATTTGGTGAGTGTGAAAGTGAACCAGACAGGGCCTCATTTCTATTTTTAGATGGCGGTGAAGTATAAGCTTATCACCGGCCTTCCTAACTCAAATAAGGACTGGAAGAAGAAATTTTTCTGGGTCATGGGGGACGACTTGGAGCTGAGCAGCTCGAATTAGACCGAGATAAGGAGGGAGGCTCTAATGGCCGACAACCTGCTTGATGCCGAGAGGGATACGCTGGATCAGATCAAGGCGTATGTTGGCTCTCGTCGGGTCGAGCACCTGCTTGATAACTTGGTCTTGCGGGTGGCCAACGTATCTTTTGTGCCTCCATCTGCCAAGGACCAAGAGAGGGCTTCGGCCCTGATCTTAGGGACAGTGAAAGCGGAGATGGCGTCGTCCGCTCCTCTGGTCAACCCCCAGGAAGGGCCATCATCAAGGCCTGAAAAGTGTCTCCTTCGTGACTTGCCCCCTATGGAGGCCGAGACGACCGATGCGGAGCCTTTTGCCACCTCATCCATAGGCAGATGAGGAGGCCGCAAAGGGATGAAGAGAAAATATCATGGTTGGCGGCTGAGGCGGTCGAGACCAATGTCATCCATGTGGCGAGTCGGCCTCCAGGAGAAGAGGCCGAAGGCTCCTAATAAGAGGTTAGACCGAGCTCCCAAGAAGAGGTTGGAGCCAAGGATAGAGCCTTTTGTTGGAGAAGAAGGGTCATCCATTCGTCGCAGCAGCGAGTCATCTCGCTACGGGAAAGAGTCGGTTGCGGAGGAGACCGCCTCACCGTAGGGTTAGAATACCGTATCCTCACGCGAGTTGTTGATATTAGTGAGAAAGAATGGGAGAGAATGAGGCAGTACCTCATTGGGTCTTTAGGGTTTGGCTCTTAATTTGTACAAGAGCCCGACCCTGAGCACCGCTATCAGCCTGCTCACCATCTTGACGTCAAGGGGTCGGTTCTTAGTTCTCGCCTGACTCAGTCGAGGGCGGTTGAGCAGTTCTGGCTTCCTCAAGACGAGGAGTTCTTGAAGGGTGTTCCTAATTTCGGCCTTCATCAAAACCTTCAAAGTTATTTGGTTCGAGGGGCATTAGTGGAGCAGGAGATATTTGGCCGGATGGAGCAGATTCGGACTTCATATCTCAAGCTCTTAGGGGAGATAACTTCCTTGAGGGCTGGCAGAGAGGTCAACTCAGAACGGATTGCGGAGACGCCAGCTCCAAGAGATTCCGGGGTCGACGGGCTCAAGCGAGAGTTAGAGGAGAGCAAGAAGAAGGCTAGGAGACTGGATGAGGCTCTCCAGGAGAGGGACCGCGCTAAGGTGCAGGTCGAGGCCGAGAAGTAGACGGTGGTGCATGCAAAGCATCAGTTGGATGAGGAGCATGCAGCGCTCATCAAACTTCAGGAGGTGGTCGCCCATTTACAGGAGTCCCTGGCAGTGGCCCAAAGATGCAACGCCCACCTCAAGTCTGAATCCTATCATGAGGAGATCATTGTGGGGTATCGCCAGGGCCTTACTGGAATAACAGAAGTGG